AATATCATAAATTCATTTACACACTAGTAGTTATAAAAAAGCCATTTTTCGGTTAACTCTGCCTGTAATAGTTTCTGAAAAATAAAATTATTTTTTTTTAAAAAAGGTCCGATTAAATCTATATATCTCCGAAACTAAAAGTTCCAAAAGATTCGTCTTATATCTATAAATTCATTTTTACCCACTGTAGATATAAAAGCATATTTTGGTAAACTTGTTTTAAACAAAAAAAAAACTTGAAAAATTAAAATTAATTTTTTTAAAAAAGGTCCGATTAAATTTTATATCTCCGAAAAAAAAAAAAAAAAAAAAAATCGTAATATATCTAGAAATTCAATTTCCCACTAGTAGATATAAAAAAAAAAAAAAAAAAAAAAAAAAAAAAAAAAATTTTCTGAAAATAAAATTAATGTTTTTAAAAAGGTCCGGATTACAATTAATATCTCCGGAACTAAAGGTTTCCAAAGAATTCTAATACTATCTTTAAATTTTGTGGGTCATACCCACTAGTAGATATAAAGAGCATCTTTTGGTAACTCTGTCTAAATAGTTTCTGAAAAAATTAAAAATTATTTTTTTAAAAAGGTCCGATTAAATAAAAAAAATAAAAAAAAGTTCCAAGAAAGTTCGTAATATATCTAGAATTCATTTACCTCACTAAGTAATATATTTAAAAGCATTTTTTAATAAAAATAAAAAAAAAAATATTTCTGAAAAAATAAAATTAAATTTTTAAAAGGAGGTCCGATAAATTTTATATCTCCGAAAACTAAAGTTCCAAAAAAATTCGTAATATATTTCTTATAAATTCATTTTACCCACTAAGTTAGTTATAAAAAGCATTTTTTTGGTAACTTCTGTCTCTAATAGTTTTCTGAAAAATAAATTAAATTTTTCTAAATAAGGTCCGATTAAAATTAATATCTCCGAAACTAAAAGTTCAAAAAAATTCGTAATATAATCTATAAATTATTACCCAGACTAGTATAGTTTAAAAATGCCATTTTTGGTAAACTCTGTGTCAAATAGTTGTTCCTGAAAAATAAAATTAATTTTTTTTAAAAAGTCCTGATTAAATTAAATATCTCCGATTAACCTAAAGTTCAAGAAATGTCGTAATATAATCTTAGTAATTCATTTACCACTAGTAGATATAAAAAGCATTTTTGGTAACCTCTGTCTCAAATAGTTTCCTGAAAAAATAAAATTAATTTTTTTAAAAAAGAAGGTCCGAATAAATTTATATCTCCGAAACTAAGTCTTCCAAAAAAATGTTCGGTAATATTATCTATAAAATTGCGGCATTTACCCACTAGTAGAATATAAAAAGCATTTTTGGTAACTCTGTCTCAAATAGTTTTTCTGAAAAATAAAATTAATCTTTTTTTAAAAAGGTCGATAAAAATTTATATCTCCGAAACTAAAGTTACAAAAAAATTCGTAATATATCTATTAATTCATTGTACCCAGCTAGTAGTTATAAAAAGCATTTTTTGGTAAACTTTGTCTGTAATAGTTTCTGAAAAAATAAAATTAATTTTTTTTAAAAAGGTCCGATTAAATTTATATCTCCGAAACAAAAGTTCCAAAAAAATTCGTAATATATCTATTAAATTATTTACCTCACTAGTGATATAAAAAGCATTTTTGGTAAATCCTGTCTCAAATAGTTTCCTGAAAATAAAATTAATTTTTTTTTAAAGAAGGTCGAAATAAAATTTATATTCTCCGAAACTAAAGTTCCAAAAAAAATTCGTAAATATATCTATAAATTCATTTTACCCACTAGTAGATAATAAAGCATTTTTTGGTAAACTCTTTGTTCTCAATAGTTTTCTGAAAATAAAATTAATTTTTTTTAAAAGGTCTGATGTAATTTATATCTCCGAAACTAAAGTTCCAAGAAATGTCGTAATAATATCTAGAAATTCCATTAACCAACTAGTAGATATTAAAAGCATTTTGGTAACTCTGTCTCAAATAGTTTCCTGAAAATATAAATTAATTTTTTTAAAGGTCGATTAAATTAATATCTCCCGAAACTAAAGTTCCAAAAAGAATTCGTAAATATATCTATATTCATTTACCGCACTAGTAGTTATTAAAAAGCAATTTTTGGTAAACTCTGGTGGTCAAACAGTTTCTGAAAAATAAATTAATTTTTTTAAAAAGTTTTTTTTTTTTTTAAATTTATATCTCCGAACTAAAGTTCCAAGTAAATTCGTAATATATCTGAATTCCATTTACCCACTAGTAGATTTTAAAAAGCATTTTTTGGTAACCTCTATCCTCAAATAGTTTCTGAAAAATAACATTAATTTTTTAAAGGTCCGATTAAATTTATATCTCCGAACTAAAGTTACAAGAAAATGTCGTAAATATATCTAGAAATTCATTTACCACTAGTAGATATAAAAAGCATTTTTGGTAAACTCTGTTGCAAATAGTTTCTGAAAAAAAAATTAATTTTTTTAAATGGTCCGATTAAATTAATTCTCCGAACAAAGTTCCAAAAAGATTCGTAAAATAGTATCTAATAATTCATTTACCCACTAGTAGTTTATAAAAAAGCATTTTTGGTAAAAACTCTGTGTCCAAACAGTTTCTGAAAAAAATAAAATTAATTTTTTAAAAAAGTCCGATTATATTAATACTCCGAAACTAAAAGTTCCAAGAAATGGTCGTTAAATATATCTAGAAATTCATTTACCCACTTAGTAGATATATAAAGATTTTTGGTAAACTCTATCTTCAAATAGTTTCTGAAAGATAAAATTAATTTTTTAAAAAGGTCCGATTAATTTATATTTCCGAAACAAAAGTTTCCAAAAAGATAAATCGTAGAATATCTAATAAATTCATTTACCGCACTAGTAGTTATAAAGCAATTTTTGGTAAACCTCTGTCTCAAATAGTTTTTTTTTTTTTTTTTAATTCTTTTTTTTTAAAAAGATCCGATTAAATTAATATCTCCGAAACTAAAGTTCCAAGAAATGTCGTAATATATCTACAAATTTATTTACTTACTCGTCATTTTAAACTCGTCTATTATATTATTTCCAACAATACGCACGAACTCTTCTTGGCTTATGTATCTGGTTGCTAGTTTCTCTGATTCTGTTTCTTTGTTGGTATTAGCTGGCTTGTTTTGGCCCCCCAAACACTTGAAAAAGTCTATTGAATTCACATCCCATGGATACAACCCAGTTGCCCTAAATCCATTCTTTATTGTTTGGGATTTGGCACATCGATCTATGGCTAATTTTAATACAGGTGCGAAATGTTCCTTGGTTAATGATTCCAATGGATGATCTCTTCTCCACTCGATTACTGCTTTTTTCCATCCATTCTTTATAGGCTTAAAAGCAGCCACATCTGCCGGTTGGAGTAATCTCGTTGAGTTTGGATACAAACATATTAAGACTATTTCAAGCCTTTTACACAAACAGCTGAGTTTATATGTTAAATGCGTACTATGTCCATCTAAGAATAAAATTACTGGAAAAGTGGTATTACTATTTTTCAAATGTGGATATAGAACGTTTTCAATGTAATCACACATGATTTCCGCCTTCATCCAGCCTGTGTCAGAAAGACCTATTCCCCATTCCCCAGGAATTGATTTTGCAACATTCATGGGAAGTCTTTTGTACGGGTAGATTATCATCGGAGGCGTTACTTTCCCAGAGGCTCTAAAAGTGAACATCACCGTTAAAGTAGTTTTAGATGACGCATGTTCCATTTCATAAACATTTCTTGCCCCTTTTGGAGCAAGTACTTTAGTATTCTTGGGACAAAGAAAGAAGCAAGTCTCATCAGCATTCATTATACGGTCTGGGTCTTGAAAAACGTCCATTAAATTTTTCTCCTGTAAAAACTCCTCTATTTGTGTAAACCATCTTCTTATGTCATTTTCTGAGACATTGGCGCTAGCTGCAGTTACTGCTTCTGCTGTACGAATAGTTATTTCTGGATTTCTTCGTAAGAAAGCTTTATACCACGCCTCGCCGGGACGATTGTTAACAAATGGATTTTCTCTAGGATTTTTGTCAAGAAATTCTTTTACTGATTCCTGAATGTTTTCCTTTCGACAGGGAAATCCGCGTTTGTGGTTTTCAGATATCCATTTTACTAAAATTTTTTCCTCATCATAAGACAAAATTGGATTTGGACCAAAACTTGTTTTAACAAATTTCTGACTCCTTCTAAATTGTAGGGTAGCTCGTGGAATACCAAAACGTCTTGCAACTTCTCTCAGTGGCAATCCATTATAAACTTCCCGTAAAGCTTTCTGTAAGTTTTCTTCGTCATATTTTTTCTGATACTTTTCGCCAGATATAATTTTTGGCATGTTTTTTTGTAAATTTTAGATCCAAAACCTATGGATAAAAAAATTATTAGTTATTGGCCACCTTAAATTTAATTATTGGCCCCCGGACAATGACTGGTTCCAGGACGAATACCCGATTTTCAAAGATATTGATGTGAATTTTCAATAAAAATTATTTAAAAAAAAGTAAAAAAAAGCTATTTTTTTTCCCACTTCACTATCGCAGTCATTGGCCACCTGGCCAATTAATGAATTTATCCAGTATTTTAATATTAGTTATTGGCCGCCATATTTTTCTAGGAATTTTAGGTTATTTAATTATAATACTGATTAAAAATGAGAATAAACGTATTCTAGGGTACCCTATATCAGGAATTAATATAAAAACGACAAAAACATATGCACAAACGACTTACCAATATGGGCAACTCTTAGCAAATCTCCTTTTCTTGACCAGGAGGATCAACTCGGCGGTGAACCACAGTAAAACAAAGTTGGTTACTGAACGGAATTGGCGGGAATATATTTCCCTACTCAAGCTAGCAATAAACCGAAGTTGCCAGATTTTGCTCAAAACAAAATAACCTATGCTTTATAGCGTCAAAACCTTAATAATAAGGTTTTTTTGTTGGTGGCCAATAATTAGTAAAGAAATTGGAAACGGCCAATGACTGGGTGTTTTACCCTACTTTGTGTCATATGTGGGACATCATTCAATAAAAGAATATATGGGCAAAAATATAAACCACTTCAACTAAAAGTATTTTTATTTCATTATGGTTATAATAGATTATTCGGTATGAAAACGTAAATAACAGTTTCTGTCCTTATTAAGACATAATGGAATTTGGCATTTTGTGCAGATTATAAAAGTTTTTCCCAAACAGCCGGGGTATTTACATCTCGATCGATCTGTCTCCTTCCAATATGGTAAATGACTGATACCATCCTTTTGAATATCTTCTTGAGGGATTTCTTTTGTTGGTCCCTTTTTTCTCTTCTAGAGTATTTAAAATTAAAATTTCGTATAGGTTTTTTATATTTTTGTTAAATATATTTGTTGTAGTATGGAAGAATCTGACGAAACGTTCAGCTGTTCTACATGTTTCAATCACTAATTGGCTAGCTTTAATGAGGTTTCCATATTTCTTCCTTTCTAACAAAAGAGAATTTGAAATATTGCTATTACTTTCTAGCAAATATAAACATGTAGAGCAGCTAACACATTTCTTCAAACTCCTCACCACATATCTAGCTATATATGCTAGAACATCCTGACTATATATGGTGAGATCCCATGCATCAGAAATGATTAACTCGTTTTTAATCTGTTCATTAATTTTATTTAAAAATGAAACATACTCTTCCGACTCTTCGAAGTTTTCACCGGTTTCAGTTATTATTAAACCATTGCTTGCACCACATGTTAAGATTGTTATATTTTGTAAAAATTAATTGCATTACCAGAGTCAGGGCCACTTATTTGTGTATGGACTAATTATCTTTTATACGCGGCTTCGAACTGTAGAGCAGTTGGATTGTTATTATATCCGCCCCTGCTCCTTATGGCTCCAAAAAACAATTCCAAGTGGTCCTGAGACAACTTGTATGCTAGTATATATTTTAAAACATTTTCTTCTATAACATACTTAAAATACATGTTTTTTAAACTTTTTAAGCATATTAAAAATCCCAAGAAACCAGTTTTTCTAGACGACTTCAAAATTGGTTTATTATTTAATGAATCATGAATATATGATTCCATTTCAGTAAAAAAAAAATTAAAAAATATTCAGAATTTTCAGCAGGTCTCTTATAAAGATATTTATTAAATTTGCTCTCGTACACTTGCTGGAGGTTTGCACTCGATGGTCTTCCCACTTTGTTCAGTTTGGCTAATTGTCCTGCTTTGCAAAGAGCATCGGCTATTGCCAACTATCCAGAAGAGGCATACCAAATTTTCCAGCTCTTCTAGCTAATAACCAAGCATTCACTGCCGCCATATCAATAAAGTGAAAAAATATGCGCAAGTAATACTTCTTGAACCTAATTTTTATGCGATAAAACCCCAACATTGAATCCAAAAGATCTACACCTCCCATGTAACTATTGGGGCAAGGTATCACTTTATGAGTATTTTCTTTTTTGAAAAATCTCTTTTTTTCCTCTTGGTTCACTTCCAGTATACGTTGACATTGTAGTGACGATTTTATTATCAAGCCAAGATACTAGATTGACATCCACATTATCTACATTGGATGAACCACATGTTCTCTCTACCATATGACCTCTTCCTATTTTTTCACTTCGTTCTCTTTCGACATGTTAGCTCCTGGAACACGATTTAGTCTCACTGTTCCCAATGGCAAAATGCCCATCTTGGTCAGATATACCATGAGTAGTACACTAGAAAACCAATTATTATCAAAAAACAACTTATAATTCTGATGTTTTGGTATGGATTCAGATAATTTCACAACCTTGTTACTGCTCATATCAAGATCTGGAGCACCTGGAGGTATGGAATTACTTTGGGATCCTGCAAAAAGATCAAAATCGTAGCTGAAACCAGAAATTCCGCTTAGAACAAAGTTCTTGTATCCCTACTTATGAGGTTTTTTTAGGGTTATACTGCTTCAATTGACTTCGTGCTTTTGTAGATATAATTTGTTCGTCCACAGCTAAAAAATCTTCTTTAGGCACTTTCAGTAATCCACTTCCTTCTAATTTGTTCGAGAAACGGTCTAATTTTGAATAAACGGTCATGCCCAGGCTGTTCAATTATATTTTCATTCTTGTTGAAGTACAAAAAACGTTTTATTTCCTCAAAAGCTTACTGCTGGATGGCCAATGTAGGAATTCCAATAATGTCTTGTAGCAGGAAGCTGAATAATTGACAGGTAAATAGTAATTCCTATGAATTGCGTAATTTCGGAAACTTGTATGTTGGCTGGTTTATTCGGACGTTGTTGAACTGAATATAAGTTGGTCTGTTCTGATACTCTATAAGACTATCGGCAAATATAAACTTGAAAAATTGGACTGAAGTTTCCAACTCTAAATTGGTGGACGGCGCGCGGCGGGTCTTGCGAGCCACTGAACTGTATTTGATTATTAGATTTTTTAGGCTACCTTCTTGCCAGCGAGGATGTTCTTTATTCTGTTCACGAAGTTCTTCTCTCATTACCGATAAAGGGATATTATCATCTGATGAATCTGTTTCAGGGATTACAGCTTCCTCAGATTCACATTGCACCTCATCAAGTTCCTCGCAGTCACTATCCGGTGCCAGTATGATGGCACCGGATCCTTGGACCATCCACCTGGACCATCCAAGGTGGTCCTTGATCATCTTCATCAGATAAATCGGATTCCTCACTTGCAATATCGGGAAGTCTGACAGTAGACATTCTCCCATAGAACTTTTTTGTATCCATATCTGCAAAAAATATTTGAATGCATGATGTGCCATAAATGGGACAAAGCCTTTTTTGTTCTTTTGCATAGGTCGTCAGTAATTATAACGTACACCTATCTGAATAGAGCCCTAATACCACTAAAAAGACACTTATATTTTTTTGCACTGAAAAAACACTATTTTATAACAACAAATAAGCCGCAAATTGTAAATATTCCAGCGCGTCAGGGAAATTCGACAGGAATAAACTCGAAACCGCATGGCACTAGTTGTATGACTTTGATTTTGTTCCTGTATGTTTTACACGCTTTAGCTGAATGTGCCAGGTATGGGCAGCGATGCAGTTACAACAAGAGTTGTGCTGAAATAAATTTAAAAAATAAAAATCCAGTTTGTGCCATATATGGCACATGATGCGGTAAAGGGTTAAAAGTTACTGTTGTATATTCTCACTTGATAATTTGGCCGGAGAACTTAATTTTACCAAGCCACGTTTTCTTTTAGGTGTAGTTTGTGGTGTAACTTGAGACGTGGATGGCTTCTGAATATCTTGGTGTGATGGTATCACCTCACTAGGTACTTCTGGTGTACTGATGACTTGTTCCCTTGTCACTAACTTGGTTTCAACAAATCTGGAATCTTGAAAAAGAAATGCTATAACAATAAATCAAACACTCAGGGGTTATTTCTTTTAAAATTAGTATATTATATATGATAACTGATAAAATATTTTTATACTATAAAATACATCTGCAAATGATATCTTTAAAAGTCGATTGTATTTTTTTTTTTAATTAAACCTAATGTCGAATCTTTACAAACCAAAACAACCTACCTTTCTGTATCGTTCCAGTAGTAAAAAGAGTTGGAATAGCACATCTTTCTTAACATTTGAGTTATTCCTGGCTCCAATATATCTCTGGGGCGAAATGGATGTCACGAACCCGATAGAATTCTCTAACTTTATCCATTGTTTTTTTTGGTTAAATCATCTCGGCCAATATTTTCAACCCACTGGTTAAACAACTACAAATATAAAAAGGGTAAGGGAGACCGGGGATAGTTGGCGCACTTTTATGTTAAGTTATTTTATTACTTTTTAGTTAGTTTTAGAAAATGTTTGTTGGCATGCTGTAACAGTTTAAAGCCTTGTCTACAACATTATTGTTTCAATTATTGAGTTTGTTAGCACTATCAGTATTAAAATGAAATTATCTTGACATGTGTCATCGGCGCCAATTTACCCCATGGGTGCGGTTGGTTGGCACAGCATATGGGGCAGATTGGCGCATAGCCAGTATGAAAATAGCAAGGTATGGAAACTGTATACTGCCAGTAATACAATAGCAGTAAAACAGGCTTGTCTTTTGAACACTTTGTAAACTTTATAAAATGCTTTATAAAGTCTACAAAATTTTGCTCTATCATCCATCCTGAGGGATTACAAGCCCCTCCACTACCGGTTGGAGAATTGTTTAAAAAATATTCTCTGAAATTGACTCTGGGGAAAATAAAAAACGGGGGAATACTATTAGCATGCGCAGAAACAGCTGCAGCCATAGTTACTAATGTGCCGCGCTTTTGTGAAGTAATTCGTCCTATTTGTTTGTAGCCCTTTCGTGCAACAACCTTATCTAGGCTTGTCCAGCCTTATCTAGTCTTAGTCTCGTCCATATTCTAAACATCTTCAGGACCTATTCCTAATCTCTCAAGGACTATTTTTAAATTGTCAAAGAATGCTGAAACTGTACTTTTGTTAAAATTGACACGTCGTGCAATACTCGTAGCTTCTGGGCGACGAATTGATAGATCAGAGAAGAATCTAATATTTAAAATACCTTCTTAGTTGGTCTTATCAACCCCTCATTGGAATAGTTTCCACGCTCCGTTTTTCTCTTATAATTTCTCATCATAAACTAAAACAAATTAATTATGATCACAATCTGACAACAGGACAAGTAGGCGCTGCGCCAACCTACCCCGTTTGTTTTGAGACAACCTGCCCAACTGCACGTGTAAAGTTATTTAGCGTCAAAAAAATTATAAACTTAATGTTTTTTGTAAATGCCGATAAATCAAATTAATCTATGATAATTATAGTTTAATTTGCTACATGTATTGTCAATGTATTACCTCTACGATTTAAACTAATTTATAAGAAACAAAATATTTACTACTCAATTTGTAAAAAAATGGAGTCGCTGGAATTGCTCCCATAGATTAAGAGATATCGACTCGAATAACAAGATGTCTAACTGGTTGCATGCATTGAGTCGTTAAGAGGTATGCAGTGTTGTCAATGTCTATCATAAACTAGTCAAAATTGCATTGCGCCAACCAACCCGTGCGCCAACTAGCCCCGGTCTCCCCTACTTTTAATTTAGAGTTGCAATATTATTGTGTCAGGCCCCCCTTTAATGTTAAAATATGTTTTAAAGCCCGCGAAAATATATGCCAAGATTAATAGGATTTAAACCAAAATACTTACTCAGCAACAAAATATTTATCTCTAGTAGGTATTTTATATATTTTTTTGTTTCATTTGATTTTTGGAAATGGATTTCATAAGATTTTAATTAATAATTAACATCATATATCTATTATAGTATATTATAGTATAGTTATTATATTTTGACTATAATATCTGGGATAAATAGTAATAATTTACAGAGATTAAACTGTTGTCTCAAAAATTGTAAAATAAAAGAGTACATTGTGTATCGAACTTATAGGACTTATCTGTATAGTTTCTTATAATGTTGTAAACAGGTAGATAGGTAGTCTCCAGACTAACCGAAGTGGAAGCAGATGACTATGGCAGCAGAAGTCTTCGATATCAGTAGAACAAACGTAAGGTCATGAATGCTGTCTTAAGGTCTACGTAGGTCCATTCAAAATAAAAGTGGGTGAAATTTAAGCGGCATACAATTACTGTGTCCCCATAGGATTACTGTGGTCATGTAATTACTTATATCCATACAATTACTAAGGTCCTAATAATTACTTATGTCCGTATAATTACTCTATAAACAAAAGATAGCTCTCAGAACAAATACTTAACCAAAAAAACATAACTTACGGTCTGAAATACAGCTTTACATAAACCAAAATATATTCAAACCATATGCTGATCCAAACCAGTAATTAAATATTAATCAAAACCTTCAAAACAAATCAAAAAACAGGAACAACTGAAATAAAATTTAGTTAATTATGGCGATGCAAAATGGCGGATACACTTACGGTGATATATTCCAAGAAAAACCCAACAAATACGAACTATACTCTGAACTGCATACTTTAAAAAGGTCTTCAAATCTCCAGATCGGATCAATTGCAATTACAGACAAAAAGCGGATTCAGAGTGCTTTTTACTGAAAGAATCGTATGGACGCCGAACAACACATCTCTAACAGATCCGATCTCTCAGCAAAAGGGCTGAAGGCCTACTTCTTGTTTTTCATCTTGTAAAAACGGAAATGGAAGATAGAATGGAAATGACAAGCGACATCACCATGACAAAAGACCGAGAAAAGTGAACTGTAATATACGCATTGCCTGGAAACTTATATGGTGAAATTTGATAAAATATTTTAGTACACACTAAAAACACGGTATGTCGCTAATGGTAGGAAAATAATAAAGTTGATGATGTCGGACTTAAAAAAACTATGAGTCCCAAAAAAAGAAAAACGGAATAAAGAAAACTTGAAAAGAAAAAGAGCTTCTTCGTAATGTTCCTAAGTTAAACACATTTTTTGTCTCATCTACGTCTAGAAAAAATTTTGGCTCTAGTCTTAGTACTCGTAATAGGGTTAGAGGAGAGCTGGGTTCGTAGGTAAGGCTTCTGGCTTGCGGTGACTTTCTAATGTTAAATATTAAAATAAAAAAATGATGATATTTAGGATGCAAAGATTTTAATATTGATGTTAAATATTTATATAGATATGGCCAAAGACAGTAAAAAGGGCGCCACTTACTTTGTTTATGAAAGAGGTAAAGTAAGAAACCAAAATGAAAAATATTTTAACACAAAATAGCTAGAATAAAGTAATCAACAGTAATAAGGGTCTATTTATGTTTATCAAGAATAAAAGTCAGAAATAACTATCCTACATTAAACATTTATTTAAAAAACGATCAAGTACCAGTTAGTTTCAATTATCCCAATAAAACTATAAGTTATTTTAAATAAATTTGATTTGATTAATATAAAAACAGATGAAATTTATGTATGTATCAATACGATGATTCGAAACATGTCGTGTACAAAAACCTTCAAGAATGAATACGTGTTAATAATTTGCATATAAAATATCATAACAAGGTAAAAGTATGCTGTATGAATCAAATTATATCTTATAACGTTAACTGAAAGATAATTTTGACTATAATATCTGGGATAAATAGTAATAATTTACAGAGATTAAACTGTTGTCTCAAAAATTGTAAAATAAAAGAGTACATTGTGTATCGAACTTATACGACTTATCTGTATAGTTTCTTATAATGTTGTAAACAGGTAGATAGGTAGTCTCCAGACTAACCAAAGTGGAAGCAGATGACTATGGCAGCAGAAGTCTTCGATATCAGTAGGACAAACGTAAGGTCATGAATGCTGTCTTAAGGTCTACGTAGGTCCATACAAAATGAAAGTGGGTGAAATTTAAGCGGCATACAATTACTGTGTCGCCATAGGATTACTGTGGTCATGTAATTACTTATATCCATACAATTACTAAGGTCCTAATAATTACTTTTGTCCGTATAATTACTCTATAAATAAAAGATAGCTCTCAGAACAGATACTTAACCAAAAAAAATTAACTTACGGTCAGAAATACAGCTTTACATAAACCAAAATATATTAAATCATCGCAGTAATTAAATATTAATCAAAACCTTCAAAACAAATCAAAAAACAGGAACAACTGAAATAAAATTTAGTTAATTATGGCGATGTAAAATGGCGGATACACTTACGGTGATATATTCCAAGAAAAACCCAACAAATACGAATTATACTCTGAACTGCATACTTTAAAAAGGTTTTCAAATCTCCAGATGCACCAGATAACCCATGCAATTACAGACAAAAAGCGGATTCAGAGTGCTTTTTACTGAAAGAATCGTATGGACGCCGAACAACGCGTCTCTAACAGATCCGATCTCTCAGCAAAAGGGCTGAAGGCCTACTTCTTGTTTTTCATCTTGTAAAAACGGAAATGGAAGATAGAATGGAAATGACAAGCGACATCACCATGACAAAAGACCGAGAAAAGTGAACTGTAATATATGCATTGTCTGGAAACTTATATGGTGAAATTTTGATAAAATATTTTAGTACACACTAAAAACACGGTATGTCGCTAATGGTAGGAAAAATAATTTTTAGAGGTTATTAGTTTATTTGGTTGCCTGTGATATGCATATACAGGGTGTTTCCTAATTAATCTAAAAAATAAAAAATCGTTAGAAAACGAATTAAGGCGGGCTCTTAATAAGTATATTTATTTTTTTCTCGACAACCGTTTGATGAACAAGAAAACTCAAAAGATCAATTTGTTGAAAAAGGATGGCCAGTCAAGAAAAAAATATTTTTTCTTTAAAAAAGCAGTGGTGTACACCATTTATGTTAAGCAAAAAAATCGATTTTTTTTAATTTTAACACCCCGTAGATCTGAAAGGAAGTACTTGAGACCTAATGGTTATATAAAAATTGTTTTAAGAACACATGAGGAATCACACCATAATTTTTTTAGACTAATTCGAAAACACCCTGTATATTGTCAACTTGACAATGACCGCTGATAAATCAAAAAATACCTTTTCAGTGAAAAAAGCCTGATTTTCGCAGGAAAAATTTTGATTTTTATTGAATTTGGGCCTGCGTTTGCAAATACTGGTTTGTTTTTTAATTTTCTATCTATCTGAATTTTAAATATCATAGTCAGAAATAGTTTTATTATTTATTAACTGTAAAAATGGTGTTTTCTTGTTGTGTTGCATCTTGCAAAGAAACTAACAAAAGTGCAAAAATGTACGTGTTTCCAAAAGACGATAAGGTATCTTAGATAAAAGAAAAATATATGGTATGTATTCGTTGTTTGATTTTTTTTCGTTCGCTTTAAAATCTATAAATCTCGGTCTATTCATTAGACAGCCAGTCGACTTACGATCATTTACATGAAACTCTGTAAAATAAATAAAAAAATAAATTGTAAAATATATATATTCTTATGTTTTATTAAAGTTACTCTGATATACTAATATATCAGTGTAACTTTAAAAATAAATCCTTTGAATTCAAATATAAACATAAAAAACATTTACAGCAGAAAAGGCGAAGGCGCTAGGTTAAACGTAGTCTTCACTAAAAACACGGAGGGGCGCTTTGACCCAAAATTTTACTGTTGAAGTTTCATATCTATCTTAATAGTAGATTATTTCCTTTTATCTATGAATATATGTATGAAGTTTGGCAAGTTCGACATGTAGCGAATAGATGGCGTTAGATAAAATCATAAAAAAACTAAATATTTAAATTTAATATTTTAGAAAAGAAATAAAAACGCTACAATTTTTCAATGTCTCTAGCACGATTTTAGCCAGGTATTCTGCTTTATGGCCACAATTTGGAATGAATTTCAAAAATCTTTCGACAGGACTTCCATCTTCAGAAACATATCTCACTAGAAAAGAAAGCTGATCTACATGAGATATGTCCGGAGTAGAATAGTCAGAAGTCCACAGAAAAAATGGAAAAATATTTGGCATGTTTTATCTCAGATACGATTTTATTTATGACCTTTTCTGCCATGATATTGATAATTTCATCGCATGTTTTTGACGAAAGATAAGATGTTGTCCCAATTCCTTTGTTACCGTGGCATTTTAAATGTAAGTCCAGAAAAGGATCGAACTCAGCCAAAAGTTCTAGGGTCATAAGATAGTTCCCTCTGTTTTTCGATCCAAATCTCTCATGAGAACCTCTAAACGGCAATCTGCATGCAGAAAGTGACTTCACAACAGCCACTATGCGCCTCAAAACCTCATGCCAGTATTTTATTTCTTCTTCCGTTTGAAGAACAAGACTCTTGTCAACTCTACCGCCAGCATTTTTCCTAGCTAATAATGTCGCAAGTGCTGACCTGTGTTCGTCCGAATTCTCATGATCCTTCATTCTTTGAACTATGTTTTTCCAATCGTTGTATCCTTTATTAGCTAGCGACCCTAATTTCCCAAACATCTTACAAGGGGCGCAAAGTACTGCACCCTTGCTTTTCGAAAATATGAGTCAAGGTCGAGGTCTTTTTCCCCATTGCTTAACGTTCGGCTAAATAGCCACAGCGACAGATATCTGGTTTTATCTGGGTATTGGCGCCTTGAAGAAGAAAAGTCAGCATCAATATTTTGTTTTACGCCATTTTGAACAAGGTATTCCAATGTAACTTCGTCTAGCATCCACTCAGCGGGATCGTCGCTTAAAGGAGTCGCCAAATATGTATCTGCATGCGATTCAAATTCAGGATTTTCACAAGAATCGTTTTCTGTAGCTGCTACGGAATTTTCAGAAGTATTGATTTCCGGTAACTTGTTGCAGACAGGAGTTGCCTGTTCCTGCTGTCGGTCATCAGCATCACTGCTACTGTCACTGGCTGACGCACTAGTATTACGAGTACTAAGACTAGAGCCAAAATTTTTTCTAGACGTAGATGAGACAAAAAATGTGTTTAACTTAGGAACATTACGAAGAAGCTCTTTTTCTTTTTCAAGTTTTTCTTTATTCCGTTTTCTTTTTTGGGACTCGCTTAGTTTTTTTAAGTCCGACATCATCAACTTTATTATTTTTATATCCTGCTTGTCAATAGTTTTATACACTACTATCATTTTATTTGATAGTTTAAATTGATTTAAAATTTAGCAGCTGCTCTTTTATATAACAAATATGTACTTTTATGATACAGACACGGCATATTGTTTGCATGTGCCGTGATACATAGTTTATACAAATTGCTAATTAGAATTGGCAACAGTGTTCTAGAAAAAGAATATGGGAATATTGAAGTTGAAGGATTTCAGAGGATTTTTAAGTCAGTTTCTTCGGCTGTTTCACATGGATTTACATACAGTAGAACTTCGGTAATCCGGACAGATATAGTTTAGGTGGTCGTCCGGATTGGTGAATTGTCCGGAAGTTATGCCGATAATGAAACACAGGTTAATTTTTTAGCTTTATTTACATATTTATATGTACCAACATTAACTCAAGTGTTTTACAAATAATATGTGTATGTACGTATAATAGAAAAAGTTTAAAACATATCCAACTTTTGCGGCTATCTGGCGAAAAGGAATATTATGTACGAGTATTTAAAGGCAAAAAGTCATCAATTTTTTTTTGTATAAGGTTCTCATTGTGAAGCTTTCTTGATAGTTCTAAAATTTTTTTCAATAAAAGGACTTCTTGATAATTCAATTTGTTTTCTTCTGCCCACTGCACGCATTTTGAAAAACACTGTACTGCTTCTATGTGTTTGATTTTTGTAGGAATGTCAATAACATCCTCCTCTTCTTCATCGTTTGTGTTTGATTGTACCGATTCAATTATTTCCTCGTCGCCAATTCAGTTCACTTTCGGATCTATAACTTTTAACATTTTTTCAAGTCGTTGAGTTTCAAAGCTTCTTCAAGTAGGCTTTTTCTTAGATCGGCCAGCAATATATCATCTTCTTCATCTGACACCAATTGAGGCCATATTCCATCCCAGCTTTTTTGAATATTCTTTTCGGTTATGGAGTTCCAAGCAGAGTCGAGAGTATTCACTGCATCCAGAAGACTAAATTTCTTCAGTAGTTGCATTGTGTCTTTGTTTTCTTGTGATATAATGTGGGTCAGCAATTGCCTTCTATAAGAAACCTTGATATTTTGTATCAAGTTCTGATCCATTGGCTGAACTAATGCAGTACAATTAGGAGGCAAAAATACCACTATGAAATTTGGATTCGTATTGAGCTCTTCTTCGGGTGGGTGTGAAGGCGCATTGTCAACAAGAAGCAGTGCCCTGCATGGCTTATTGGCGTTACTCAGTTATTGTTTCACTTCAGGAACAAAGATTGTTTTAAACCACTCAGAGAATATGTTTCGGGTCATCCATCCTTTGGTACTAGCCTCGTATTTCACAGGCAACTGTGCATTTTTGAAAACTCGGGGGTTCTTAGATTTACCTAACACAAGTAACGGCAACTTATGTGTGCCTGATGCATTTGAGCATGGCATAAAGGTTACACGGTCTTTTGAAACTTTCCTCCCTGGTGCCGATTTCTCATCTTTATGCACCCACGTTGTGTTTGGCAAAACCCTCCAAAAAAGTGCGGATTCATCCGCATTGTAGACTTGCTCTTTAGTTAATTGCATTTTCTCAATCAGGGCTTGCAGTTTAAGTTGGAAAGGAGCAACTGCTTCAGCGTCACTTGAAACACGTTCTCCGCATACTTTTAAAAAACGAATGCCGCGTCTTGCCTTAAATTTGTCAAGCCATCCTGAACTAGCTTGAAAGTTAGTCTTTCCAGTGATGCGCTCATAAAAAAATCTGGCTTTTGTGCGCAAGACTTCACTAGAGACAGGAATGTGATTTTTACGTTGCTGTAGAAACCAAGTGTATAACGCCTCTTCCACATCAGGATTCTCGGGCTTTTTCATAACTTTTCTCTGGCCTAAAAAACATTACATATCTTTAGTGCAAACTCAAAACCCAGCATTTATTCATAAACTTACCTATATCAGTGTACGACCTCGCAACAAAATTTCGAATCTTCACTCTGTTCTTCTTTATATCGGATACTGTTGATTTTGGTATCTTGAAAAGTTTCGCAACATGCCGAACACTACCACCTGCATCTAAACTGTCAAGAATTTTACACTTCTCTTTAATAGCAGCAGAGCAATGGACGCGTTTCGTTGGAGTCATTTTTTACACGTGGTCTAACACTCGGCGTCAAATAAATACTACGTACGACTCGACTGGACAAGCCGCTGCATGTATAAAAATATTTCTTTACATATGTATACATACTAGTATACTTTTTCGCATTTAGCCGTTGTAATTTGTCATGCTTTTTAGCAGTGTCCGAATTACAGAAGGTAAAAATCTGAAAATGTCCGAACTGTAGCGGGTGTCCGATTGACTGGAGTGTACGGTTTACGAGGTGTACGGATTGCCGAAGTTATACTGTACATCATTATTATTAGATGTTTTCCATTTTAATTTTCTGTTGGGTTTTGTTGGTTTACATTTAGTTAGTTCACGGTGTTCTTAGTATTGTTTTAGTTAATTCAGGTATTCAGTTTAAGTTTCTTGTTATCGTTATTGATTTTATTTAAAATACTTTTAAAAAAATGTGCCTTCAACGGATGAGAAAACATTTCACTAAAAACTGAAGAAGATACATTTTTTAGATTTTCTAGGACTAAATTATATCAAAAACTGGGTGGGTGTTTTTCCGAAAATACCTAGATTTTCTAATACGAAAAAAGCGAATTTAAATAGACATACCGTTCAATTAAATAATCGACTTATTAAGTACATACCTACGATGAGTTTTTATGTTTTTTATTTTAAGAAAATAAGCATAAATGTAACATATGATCGGAAAAACGGCTTCAGAGTTGGCTTGAAAATGAAGATCCATCAATTTATACATGTGACATACATGACATATTCACACCATCTAGATGCCGACTTTTCACCCCTTAAATCGCCACTCGAGGTGATGCATTTCTAAAAATCGCCTTTTACTGCTCATTACTAACTAATTCCATATTTCTAGACCAGGGGCGCTATTCTGTAAAATCGTCGGTATCGGTAAGTTACGACAGCTCTCGATACGTATTTGTATATAGTAAAAATGTGTTAATTGTTGTTGTCATAGTTACCGATCGGTCCGAAGGCAGATATCGCAAATTTGTACCGACGAAAATCGGTATCTCTACCGTGCCCTTGTCAACCTCACGGTAGAGATACCGAGAGTCGTCGGTACATGCAAATACGTACCGATAGCTATCGGTAACTCACCGATTCCGACGATTGTACAGAATAGCGCCCCAGGTAATAACGGCGCGACGTTTAGACATACAAATATCACCCCTAATTAAAACCCTTTAGCATGGGTAACTTGTGTTTTTTTAATAGATGTCCTTAGGGAATGAATTTTCAAAAATGGCTTATTTGGGTTCAATTATGTCACTTAAGAAATTTTTATGCAAAATTTCTTACTTCTATACAAAAAAAATGTAAAGAAATTTTACCCCTAACTTAATCCCGTTAGAAGGTAAATTTACAAAAATTACCTCTTGGCCTCTTGGTGATCTATTAGGTCACTTAAGAAAACTTTGTAAAAATATTATACTTCTATGCCAGGCAGTAATAAATTTTCATACCAAGGTTCATCCCTATCACCCCCGAGAGGAGGAATTTTCAAAAATCGTTTCTTCAACTCTACTATTGCTTCCCAATTATACTTAAGCACATTTGGCCAAATTTTAATTCATAAATATTATGGACTTCTAAACCACATAGTAGTAATGAATTTTCATAAAATTTTGCCTTCAATTTTTCCCCTTTAGGAAATGAGTTTTGAGAAAACGCTTCGTAAGTATGCCACACAGAAATATTTAAAATATCGCATACTTCTAGACCAAATATTAAAGAATATTTGCAATCATTTTTTTCCTTATTTTAGGGGATGGATTTTTTTATTGAATCGCTAGAGGAACCTTTGTGTAATGTTTTGAATGAACAGGTTTTCAATTTTTTTGCTTTATAATCGTTCACCACTAATTTCACCTCTTTAGGGGATGAATTTACCTTTGTGAAAAATACGAAACTCCCAGAACCAATTTTTAAGGAATGTTTGTACCGACTTTTTCCCTCTTAGGAGATGAAATTTAGGGATAATTATAATTAAGAAGTGAAGCGCCGCACATACGGCAAATATGCCAGTTTAGCGTACCAAAAATAGTTGTATATATTCAAGTGATTTTTATGCTTGAATTTGCCTGAAATATCATTATAAGCAATCAAATAGACAAAAAATATACCGAGTTTTTTTATTAACAGGATCTTTTCACATTTTAGATATTTTTTTTCTCTTAAGATCCTACCTTTTTCACTATCTAGGTACTAAGTTAAAATTTTAACTTTTGGCACTAGTACAAAAATTAACTCATTAGGGCAAAAAATGATAAAAAAAATTAATTGTGCAACATATCTAAAACGCATTTACTACGGGGGAAAGCGGATCGATGTTCTCCCGACTACCTATAAAGAAAACCCCCTCTATCAGACGGAGGACAATCGGGGACGCAAATCTTTTAATGCTTGTAAAGATAAAGGTCTAATCTAATTGTAAGAGAAGAAACGAGAGTGGTACTAGGTGGAAGTTTTAACATTGAAAATGTTTCTGTTATCCTATATAAGGGAGCCCAAATCAAACTAAAATGCTACATTTGCCACACCATGACGTCATATATACAAGGGTATAGGAAATCTCGGCGCAGCGGCGGCAGTCGGCCAGCGCGCGCAAAAACCATTACATCGCTAATTGTTTATTGATATATCTTTATTAGTTTAAAAGCAAAAAATATGGGGTTTGCTTTGATACCTGGTCAAGACATAAGCGAAACTTTTAAATTGTTTCTTTTTTTTATTTAGGCCTTCGTTTTGCGTTAAAATGAAAGTTATATTAAAAAAATCTATTTTTAAACCGGCCAAATTTTCGCATGATTGAAATGATTATTCATGTTTAAAGTTTTTTTTTGGTCATAAGCGCTAATGGAAATGGTTTTTTGTAAATAATTATAATAAATTACTCCCTACGAAGACTTTATTGTGTACTGGATCAAAAAATAAGTATTTGTTTTCTCTATACGATGGTATTAATATATCGATTTTTGATGATAGTGCCCTTTTACCTGGTCTAATTTTGTACTACTTTCGGAATAAGGGTCCCTTAAGTATCATGTACTGTACTTCCATCCCTGAAATTCAGCTTGTGACACCGAAGTGAGAGGTAACGTCAAAATAAGCTTTAATCTACCTACATCATAGGTAGGTGTAGGTACTCTAGTTATATTCTACCTAGACAGTAGCTGAACTAGCTGACAGTAGTAATTAATTTGTTATCCGATAAGTAGTTGTCATTATATAAGTTTAATCATCTTATACCTCCTATAACGGTAGGTTTTGGATTTTTATATACATATTTATTTTAATAATAATAGTATAATAGTAATGGCTATATTATGTTATAACACATACATATGTATTGAATGTATTTATTTTAACCAATGCATTGTTTTGTTTTTTTAATCTCACAAATAAGAAATGTTTTATAGATTTTATTAAAAAAAACAGTGATTATATGAATTTATTTACACCCCTTACACTGTTTTCTATAAGGGGTGTAACTAGGAGAGTATTTCGTAACCTCTTACGATATAAGAGGGCACAAAGTGTTTTATTACTTAATGCTTAAAATTTAATAATATATTTGTACATATAATAAAAATAGACTAGAAAGTCAATTAATTAATATTGACGTAATTACTAAATAAGTACAAGATTTTTTTTTTCTAATTATTTTAGTGTATTTTTTAGTCACATAATTATAAAGGAGAGATATCCAACCATTGCATTATTTTACTCATAAATAAATGTTTTATGGTTTTTATTATAAAACAACGATTAATTTATTATACACCCCTTAACCCAAACACTCCAAGGAGGATATTTCGTGACCCCTTTATTTAAAGTGGACAAGCTTTTATTAGTCAATGTTTTAATTACCCAGCGTCTTTAATAAAAATCTAATGTAATTTTTCATAGAAATGATCTAACATAAAAAGCAAATTTTATCAAAAAACTTTTTGATTATCTACAAGGAGTAAACCGCTGACAAATGTCTGTATACTAACGCCAAAGTAATGCCAAAAATACAAATTAAATACCAAAATTTCTCATATATTGCCCCACTAATGCCAAGCTGATTCCAATATAATACCACTAATACGACGAATAATATGTAACACATTTGTTTCACGAATTAACCTGTAACAATACTGCTAGGTAAGTGCACAGATTTTTTCCTAGGTAACTTAAAAGTCATTAAAAAGTCTAATTATATTTAAAGAAGATATAATTCCAACAAATTACATTATAAGGCCAATAATGCACAAGTAATACCATTAAAATTTTAGCGTTTTTAACTTGTGTAACATATTTCTTTAACGAATTAACCTGTAACAATAGTGGTAGGTATGCGCACAGATTTTTTCGCTAGGTAACTTATTAAGTCATTAAACAGGCCTATAAAAGCTATAACAACATATGTAATATGTTAATAAATAACAAATAATAAATGTTTTTACTGGTGTATTTCTGAAGTGTTCATTATTAAAAGTAGATATTCTTCAAGTTATGCGAACTAATAAGTAATGTTTTCGGTGAGACCGCGTATATGTCACTGGATTCTGGTTAGTATAAAGACTTTTTCTATAGAAAGAGTTTTTTCTATATTTTCCTTTCAAAATAAGACTAATTTCTTATTCTTTTAAATATTACAGTGTTTCTTTTTCCTAAAATGTTATACTTAATTTTCGCTTAAAATTAAAAAATCACCAAATGGAGGAAAATATACGTTATTGAATAAAGTTTATACAAATCACTTTACCATAACTACTAAAACAAAAAAGTAAACAAAAAACTACTAAAACTACTAACAAAAAAGTAACTAACAAAAAAGTAAAAACATGTCACTAACTAAAACTAACTAACTACTAACAAAAAAACTACTAACAAAAAAGTAAAAACATGTCATGGCGGAAGATATTCAGATGGCATTTCACACATTTATCTATTAAAATCGAGATTAAAATAATAAACTTGCGAAACATGTTATACACGAGATAGAA